CTGTTTGTGATTGGTCAAATGTTGCTAACCCCGCCCCTTTCATGTGAACGCGCTCTCAGCCGGACGGAGAAACCCTGGCTTGAGTTACCGAGTTGATATCCAGCGTCGTAGGACCGCTTAGCGAGAGCGCGTTTGTTTTGGGTTAGTTAAGATAACTCAAACATATCCAGGGTCTGTTGAACTGGATTCGTCGTACAGGCCACTGATGTGATGAGTGACTCCTGTTTGTTTGTGTTGTTGTTGTTGTTTGTGTCAGGCGGGTCAGAGTCAGCAGCAGCAGCGTCAGGAGGAGGCGGCGGAGAGGAGGCTGAGGAAAGCCTCCAAAGAGGTGCTGCAGATGAGGGGGCAGAGCCAGAAGGAGCCCCTCCCCGTGCAGACCTTCAGGTAAACACACAAACAACAAGTCCCTACCTTCAGGTAAACACACAAACAACAAGTCCCTACCTTCAGGTAAACACAAACAAGTCCCTACCTTCAGGTAAACACACAAACAACAAGTCCCTACCTTCAGGTAAACACAAACAAGTCCCTACCTTCAGGTAAACACACAAACAACAAGTCCCTACCTTCAGGTAAACACAAACAAGTCCCTACCTTCAGGTAAACACAAACAAGTCCCTACCTTCAGGTAAACACAAACAAGTCCCTACCTTCAGGTAAACACACAAACAACAAGTCCCTACCTTCAGGTAAACACACAAACAACAAGTCCCTACCTTCAGGTAAACACAAACAAGTCCCTACCTTCAGGTAAACACACAAACAACAAGTCCCTACCTTCAGGTAAACACACAAACAACAAGTCCCTACCTTCAGGTAAACACAAACAAGTCCCTACCTTCAGGTAAACACACAAACAAGTCCCTACCTTCAGGTAAACACACAAACAACAAGTCCCTACCTTCAGGTAAACACAAACAAGTCCCTACCTTCAGGTAAACACACAAACAAGTCCCTACCTTCAGGTAAACACACAAACAAGTCCCTACCTTCAGGTAAACACACAAACAACAAGTCCCTACCTTCAGGTAAACACAAACAAGTCCCTACCTTCAGGTAAACACAAACAAGTCCCTACCTTAGTGGTCAGTGACTTCCCTGTCACCTCGTACCTCCATCTAAAACTTTAGCCCCGCCCCCAACACCTGAGCAAAGCGCACCTCTTGCTGCAATGGAAAAATGCATTGTTCAAACTTCAAAGCGGCTCCTACACATTGCAGGCTTTTTAAATCCTGCTGATCTTCCCACGCATGGCCCTTAAAGCTGTGATGAAGGGTTTGATCTCTTCTTCTCACGGAGGCAGCAGTATTTAATCTAAAGGCGCCTGGAGGGAGACTCTGACAGCTGAGGTTCAGACCTCAGGATCTTTAGGAGCTGCGTAAACACGGGGGGGGGAACCGGCTCACCTGGATCACCTGAGGAGGGACACCTGTTCTCTCTAACTCCTCCTGGTAGCCCCTCGTTAAAACCTCCTGTGAGACGTTTCTCTGAAGAGCACCTTCAGTCTGAGCGCTGCGAGTCTCTGGGCGCTCAAACAACTACAGCATGGCTCCACAGGGACTACAAACAACCCATAATGCACCAGTGTCTGGAGGAGTGCTCTCCATTCAGATAAACTTAACTTAACTTAAATACTAAATGTTTTATTATCTTGTCTTGTTGGATAGGAAGAAAACATCTAATTTATTTTACATTTACCGAGAACGATTTACGACTGATGATTAGAAACCTGGGAATATTTATTTTCATTCATACATGTGTAATAGTTCATTTAACAGGCACAGTGCACATTAATAGGGTTTCTGTAAATGGAGGATATTTTTCATGACTTTTCATTCAGAATTTGAAGAAAATGTTGTTTAACCTATACCAAAAACTATTTACAAATCATGAGACATGGTTTGTATTTTTTCCGGGACATTCATTAGCCAATCGGATACGTTTCATCTGTTGTCTCCGGGCAGATTTCACAATACATTTTTTATGTATTTTATTTTCGGAAACATTTCATTTTCTTGTGTTTTAGAGATTCATCAGAATCTGTGTGAGTTGAATAATAACTGTATTTTATTCCGCAGAGAGAAGATGGCTTTTTTCACGAGACCAAGGTTCAACATCCCTCCCCTCCCAGCGGACGACGTATGATGGTGTTTTTGTGATATTATTATGAAGTATTTGTCGTATTTTCTGAGCTCATGAAGTTTTTCTCGGAGGACGCCGTACTGTAACTTATTTTATAGTACTTTCCTTGAAGGAAACGCTTCCTGCTTTAACTGTGTTTTATTTTGTAGCTTTGGACGAATAGCACTTGGATGTTTTTACAGTTACCTGGAACGCCTCTGTTTCTAATTCTTAAAGTTATTTACATCAAATGTCACTTTGTAATCCACTTTTATTACAGATGTCCTTTTGTTGTTGTGTTATTAAAGTTAATATTATTTCATGTACTTTTCAATATATGGATGAATATATGAGACACTGTATTCATGTCTGTATCTGCAGTTACCTCGAATCATTAAACACGCCTCAGCTCTTCTTTCAGGAAGTAACTAAGTACTTTCACTCAAGAACTTAAGTACAAATATGAGATACTTTTACTGAGTTATTCCACTTTATGTTACTTTTAAGCAGTGGTGTAAAGTAAAGTACATTTACTCAAGAACTGTACTTTACTTTTACTCAAGTACAGGATCTGAGTACTTCTACTTTTACTCAAGTACAAGATCTGAGTACTTCTACTTTTACTAAAGTACAAGATCTGAGTACTTCTACTTTTACTAAAGTACAAGATCTGAGTACTTCTACTTTTACTAAAGTACAAGATCTGAGTACTTCTACTTTTACTAAAGTACTAGATCACATCTATGAGATAAAAAAAGATACGATCAAAGTTTGAAATGCATCAGAATCAGTTTTCGTAGGTTTATACACATGAGGAATCTGCTTTGGTATAAATACAGAGACACAGAAAGAAGAATATGTAACCAAAAATATAAAAGCTATTATACTGATACTAATAATGCAGTAAAATATAATAAAATATAGTATATTCAAAGTGGAGAGTTATGCTGATTTAAAAAGAGGAAGACATGTTGGATTTTCCCTGAGATTAAGTTAAGGAAATACTTTATTAAAAATAAATGGAATAGTCTTTGAAATTAATGTCAAAGATATTCCAAAAAGATGTCCTTTAAATGTGTCACGAGTACTTTAAATACTTTATTCGTATATTCCTCAGATCTTCTCCCATCTCTAAATGTTGAACACGATAATAAAACTTCTTACTTGATGTTTTTCACCTCGGCTGCTTCAACGTTTCTCTGAACGAGTCACCGCTGATCTCACCACAAACCGGTTCAGCTGACCTCAGTCTGAACATGCAGAGGCTTCAGGAGCACACACACACACACACACACACACACACACACACACACACACATACTCGGGGGCGGAGTGGCGCAGCGGGCTGTGCGTTTGATCATCAGATCAAGGGGGCGTTGGGGAACTCCAGTTCAAAACCCGCTCCCGCCGCCACTGCGTCAGGCCGTTGTGTCCTTGGGCAAGACACTTCACCCGAATTTGCTCCTGTGGGTATTGTCCACAGTACATGTATGATATTAATGTGTACTTGTAAAGCGCCTTGATGACTTTGAGGTGTGAAGATGGGCGGTGTGGCGCAGTGGGCTGTGCATTGATCATCAGATCAAGGGGGCGTAACCCGCCGCTGCTGCGTCTGTAAAGCCGTTGTGTACTTGGGCAAGACACTTCACCTGAATTTGCTCCTGTGGGTATTGTCCACAATACATGACCGTTACATGTATGTATGTGTAATGTGTATCTGTAAAGCGCTTTGGGTCATGGAAAAAGCGCTATAATAAATATAAGGAATTATTATTATTACATACACACACACAGAAAAACACACACACACACAACTTTTATGATAAGTGGAATACACACATTCACACACACACACTCAGAAACACTGTTATGAAGGAGAGGATGTATTTATATATATTTAAAGCTGAGAACGATGATGAATTGCTTCAAAACGTTTACGACAAGTGGAACACACGCGCTCAGGGGCGGTTCTAGGGGGGGGGGCAGGGGGGGCCTAATCTTTCTACATACCCCTGCAATCCCCTTCAAGTACCCGTATAGGGACCCCCGTAAAAAGAAAATACTTTAATACTTCAAGTTAATTGAGGCCTTGTAACTAATTCCCCAGGACTCGCTTGAAGTGAATATTTCTGTACTTTCCGTGCTGTTCGGAGTTTAAATCTTTGTAGTTTTTTGCAATTATTCTAAGTCTCTTTTGTTGAAAGCGTCAGCCAAATGAAATGTAGTGTAATGTAAAAGTACCCCTATAGGGACCCCAGGAACCACTGCTTCAAAGTTAGTCTGAGATGAGGCTCTGCAGTTAGTGTTATAGTTTTAGTCAGTTTATGTATCTGATGATTAAACGCAGACTTCATCGTCCCACTGAGGCTTTTACAAATCTCCTTTAACGCCATCAAACACTGGAGTTTGCTTCCAGCTGATCTTAAAAATGTTCCAAAAATGATAGTGTAAAACCGGTCCAGCCAACATTGAGCTACTGTGGTTTGAGATGTTAGTTTAAATGATTAGTGATATGATAGTCCTGATAAATGTGCTGGTGTTTATATTGTATAGATCCATGCTTTGATCGGTTGATGATCTCATCACTGAATCTGGCATCTCTTCGTCTGTGGCTGAGAGAGAGTGTGGTCATGTTTGAACGAGTAGGTTGTAAAAACTGTAAAAAAAGAAATCTGCCTCCTCTTTAAAAGATACGTCGAGTGACGTCGGATGAGGCAGTTAAAGGAACATCTGTCCATAAAATATATGAAAAATGTGAACATGTGAAAATGACTGAAAGGTATGTGGATAAAAGTCCAAAACGCATTGTGTAAACGTCCAGAAAGTGTTTTGCAGAACAGAAATCTGCCGTCCATGCACCGAGTGTAAAAGAAACCATGAAAATATAAACGTTTATTCCTTTTTCAGTATTTTTATTATTTTAAAATACAACAGTAACTCTGGATGTTTGCAATAAGAAAGATGAAACCTCTGTTTACTCCTCATTCTGCAAATACACATTCATCAGATCTTTCACACGTTTTTAAAACCTGCATTTACACTCATTGTGTTCAAACCCTTTGGATCATGCATCATAATCTGTAAACATAAGGATGGATGTAAAGGTGAGAAACACCTCAGTGTGTTTTAAACTAACAATTATTTCATTATAAAATAGAAAAACATTTTACATCCCAGTGTCTTTTCAAAACAGTTTTTATAGGTTTCCTGTCGAGCAACTTCCGATTGGTCGAAAATGTATGCAAAAAAAGTCCTACAAATATGTGGAAAATGTCCGTGCCTGTCCCACAGCATCAAAAACGTGAATAATTGATTGTCCGAAATAGTTTTTGCAATTATTTCTGAACTACTTTTGATGAGTGTTTCCAAAAAATGTGTCGGAAAAGTCAATTCAGGTGATAAGGTTGCTGATTGGCTAATGGTTGCACAACCCAAAAAAACATTGTGACATCACAAAGTGACCAAAATCTGATCAGATCATTTTCAGACAGTTTTTTTATCTCGATGGATCAGGAGAGGAAAAAGAGAGGGGGTCTTTGTTCCTGAGACTTTCAGACACTCTGAACACAGAGGGGACACATGTTCATGTAGAAGAGACATGAAGAAGTGGGTTTTTCAGAATAGGCGACCCAAAAAAAGGAAATAAATATATGAAAAATGTGAGCAAAACATGTGAAAATGACTAAAAAAGTATGTGGATAAAAGTCAGAAATGCATTGTGTAAACGGTCCAGAAAGTATTTTGCATGTTGCAGCTCCACTCTCCTCAGCGCTGGATCTTCTCTGTGACTGATGTGGAATGACAGCCAATAATTACACTTACGTAACCTCCAGGTGAGAGTTCAGCACATTCACACTCAAATAAAAACCTCCTGCTGCTCGTGTCTCTCCGTTAATCTCATCGTGATTCGCGGCTGGTGTTTCTCCAGGAAGAAGAGAGTTTCTGAGTCTCAGGGTCAGATCATGGATGTACAATAAGAACTGGATACAGCGTTGGAGGCGGGGCTTGTTCTTTCCTATGAGAGCTGCTCATTGGCTCATGAGGACAAAATGGCCTGACATTTTCAAGAGCAAAATGTCACAGATTACCCATCATGCCTTGGTGTCAGAGCAGAAGTACCTGTATGTGGTTTATAGAGCAGGCGGAGGTACGTTTTCCCTTAAGCCCCGCCCCCGATCTCCTGCTCTCGGCTCAGTAGAATGAATGAAGAGAGAAAATAAATCTGGATTCAGCTTTTAGGTCATTTTACAACTCTTAGGACCTAATGTTTCTAATGTAATGTTTTTTAAATGATCCACTGATTTACAGACGTCTCTTTCCCCATGTTAGTCAATGGGAAAAAGTATTTCTGGGCCCAGGGACGTCACGGACTGATACGGAAGCTGTAGTACCGCCGTTTGGCCACTAGGAATGTTTTCCTCAGAGTCCGGAGCACTACCTGGGGGCTTGATGTCAGATCGGGATGGAGACGATGGTGGGCAGCGATCCGATCTGAGGAGGGTTGTACTTCTCGATCCTCATCAGACGCCGCAGGATGTCGTCGCGGTGCAGTGGCCATTCGTAAACATGTGTGTTCTGCAGCCAGTTCGGGACGTGACACTAAAAACAGGAAACATGAGTCAAAGATTCATCACTTCTTGTCCCCTGGTCAAATTCAAATTCAAAGGTTGTATCATCAGATGCTCAGCAGCTACAGTGTAGAAATGGCAATGAAATTCTTCTGCATGCGTGCGTGCGTGCATGCGTGCGTGCGTGCGTGCATGCGTGCGTGCGTGCGTGTGCGCGCGTGGGGATTGTTGCAGTAGAAAGTTCAACTGTAGCGACCGGTACATTAATGGGAAACCCTACATGTTCCAATTCTGGAAATGTATGCAAGTTAGCACAAGTTCAAAAGCACAATCATCTGCATATTTAACCTTAACACTTCAGAAAGCTGGAGTATGAAGAATAATGGTGTTTTCATGCCAGTAATGAAGGGGAGCTTCCTGGTGATCTCCCGCTCCCTGTAGATTCCTCACATGGTTGACAGCCTGTGATTTGACAGTGTGTGTTATCAGTGTATCTGTGTCATCACACTGAGCAGATGATTCACCTTTTTCGCCCCGGGGAACACGATGGGAATAAACCTGAAGTTCTTGCTGCCGTTCTGGATGAACTCATTCTGGAGCTGAAGAGGAAACACAATCAATACAAGAATTAAAGCTGCAGAGTTCAACTGGCTTTCCCCTCGCCATCACTGGGATTCAATATACATTACATTACATGTTACATTACAATGTACCATACCTATCCTATACTATAGGTTCAAGGTTCTTTATTGTCAAACTAACATAGCTACAGAGTAATTATGTCGTTGAAAATCTTATGTCACAGGCTTCTCCAACAATGCAACATAATAATAATACAGATAGTAAAAGTAATACAAAAATAAATACTGTACTGTACTGTACTATACTGTACTGTACTATAATATACTATACTGTACTATACTATACTGTACTATAATATACTGTACTGTAATATACTGTACTGTACTGTACTGTAATATACTATACTGTACTGTACTATACTATACTGTACTGTACTATAATATACTGTACTATAATATACTGTACTGTACTATACTGTACTGTAATATACTGTACTGTACTATACTGTACTGTAATATACTATACTGTACTGTACTATACTATACTGTACTGTACTATAATATACTATACTGTACTGTACTATAATATACTGTACTGTACTATAATATACTGTACTGTACTGTACTGTACTATAATATACTGTACTGTACTATACTGTACTATACTGTAATATACTGTACTGTACTATACTGTATTATACTATAATATACTGTACTATAATATACTATACTGTAGTGTACTATAATATACTGTACTGTACTATACTGTACTATACTGTAATATACTGTACTGTACTATACTGTACTATACTGTACTGTATTATACTATAATATACTGTACTATAATATACTGTACTGTACTGTAATATACTATACTGTACTGTACTATACTATACTGTACTGTACTATAATATACTGTACTATAATATACTGTACTGTACTATACTGTACTATACTGTACTGTAATATACTGTACTGTACTATACTGTACTGTAATATACTATACTGTACTGTACTATACTATACTATACTGTACTGTACTATAATATACTGTACTGTACTATACTATAATATACTGTACTGTACTATAATATACTATACTGTAGTGTACTATAATATACTGTACTGTACTATACTGTACTGTACTGTAATATACTGTACTATAATATACTGTACTATAATATAATATACTGTACTGTACTATAATATACTGTACTGTACTATACTGTACTATACTGTACTATAATATACTATACTGTACTGTACGATACGGACTATACCAAAACGAGAAGATACGAGACGAGACCAAACTAGAATAGACGAGACGATACCAAACGAGAAGAGACGATGACGGGACGAGACGAGAATAGACGAGACCAAACGAGAAGAGACGAGACAAGACGGGACGGGGACGAGACGAGACCAAACGAGAAGAGACGAGACGAGACCAAACGAGAAGAGACGAGACGAGACGAGACGAGACCAAACACGAGAAGAGACGAGACGAGACGAGACCAAACGAGAAAGAGACCAAACGAAAGAGACGAGACGAAACGAGAAGAGACGAGGAAGAGGACGAGACGAGACGAGACGAGACCAAACGAGAAGAGACGAGACGAGAATAGACGAGACCAAACGAGAAGAGACGAGACGAGACCAAACGAGAAGAGAGAGACGAGACGAGACCAAACAGAAGAGAAGAGACGGGACGAGACGAGACCAAACGAGAAGAGACGAGACGGGACGAGACGAGACCAAACGAGAAGAGAAGAGACGAGACGAGAAGAGACGAGACCAAACGAGATAGAGACGAGACGAGAAGAGGACGACCAAACGAGAAGACGAGAGATAAGAGACGAGACCAAAACGAAATAAAGACGAGACTATACTATACCAAACTATAGAAATATACTGTACTATACTATACCAAACTATAATATACTATACTGTACTATACTATACCAAACTATAATATACTATACTGTACTGTACTATACCAAACTATAATGTACTATACAGTACTATACCAAACTATAATATACTATACTGTACTTCTGGACCCCAATAAACATGATTTGAAGGCGACAGATCTCAGAGAGTGTTTGTTATATAATCTTTATAAATGTGAGTGTGTTTCGGACCTGTTTGTGGATGTAGACGGTGTTAAAGGTCCTCTCGTCGCTCTCCAGCCCCCCCACTGAGGACGTCACCGTCTCGTAGTATTTGGGACTGATGATGATGATGATCAGGTACTCTTTCTGAGGGAGGGGTGCAAAAGACTTGTTAACTCGACCTGTCAGAGACCTGTCTTCATTCCTAAACTGCCTCATAAAACATGTTTGATCTAATAAAAAAGAAAAGCCACAGAGGTGTAACGTACACATGTCCCAAGTCTTAAAGTCCCAAGTCTTCTTTCAAGTCTTGAGTCTCAAGTCTTAACCTTCAACTATCAAACAAGTCTAGTCGTATCCTTCAGGTCTCAAGTCTTAACCTTGAAGTCTAAAGTCACAAGGTCACAAGTCCTAACCGTACAGTCTTGAATCTCAAGTCCTAATGTTTAAGTCTCAACCCTTAAGTCTTAGCCTTCAATTCTTAAGCCTCAAGTTTAAATCTTCAAGTTTCAAACAAGTCTCTAATTGGATCCTTCAAGTCTTAAGTCTTTAATTCAAAACTTCCCGTCTTACCTCTCAAATCACAAGTCTTAAACTTCCCGTCTCACCTCTCAAATCACAAGTCTTAAACTTCCCGTCTCACCTCTCAAATCACAAGTCTTAAACTTCCCGTCTCACCTCTCAAATCACAAGTCTTAAACTTCCCGTCTCACCTCTCTAATCACAAGTCTTAAACTTCCCGTCTTACCTCTCAAATCACAAGTCTTAAACTTCCCGTCTCACCTCTCAAATCACAAGTCTTAAACTTCCCGTCTCACCTCTCAAATCACAAGTCTTAAACTTCCCGTCTCACATCTCTAATCACAAGTCTTAAACTTCCCGTCTCACCTCTCAAATTACAAGTCTTAAACTTCCCGTCTCACCTCTCAAATCACAAGTCTTAAACTTCACGTCTCACCTCTCAAATCACAAGTCTTAAACTTCCCGTCTTACCTCTCAAATCACAAGTCTTAAACTTCCCGTCTTACCTCTCAAATCACAAGTCTTAAACTTCCCGTCTCACCTCTCAAATCACAAGTCTTAAACTTCCCGTCTCACCTCTCAAATCACAAGTCTTAAACTTGACGTCTTACCTCTCAAATCACAAGTCTTAAACTTCACGTCTTACCTCTCAAATCACAAGTCTTAAACTTCCCGTCTTACCTCTCAAATCACAAGCCTTAAACTTCACGTCTCACCTCTCAAATCACAAGTCTTAAACTTCCCGTCTCACCTCTCAAATCACAAGTCTTAAACTTCCCGTCTCACCTCTCAAATCACAAGTCTTAAACTTCACGTCTCACATCTCTAATCACAAGTCTTAAACTTCCCGTCTCACCTCTCAAATCACAAGTCTTAAACTTCCCGTCTCACCTCTCAAATCACAAGTCTTAAACTTCACGTCTCACCTCTCAAATCACAAGTCTTAAACTTCCCGTCTCACCTCTCAAATCACAAGTCTTAAACTTCCCGTCTCACCTCTCAAATCACAAGTCTTAAACTTCACGTCTCACCTCTCAAATCACAAGTCTTAAACTTCACGTCTCACCTCTCAAATCACAAGTCTTAAACTTCCCGTCTCACCTCTCTAATCACAAGTCTTAAACTTCACGTCTCACCTCTCAAATCACAAGTCTTAAACTTCCCGTCTCACCTCTCAAATCACAAGTCTTAAACTTCACGTCTCACCTCTCAAATCACAAGTTTTAAACTTCACGTCTCACCTCTCAAATCACAAGTCTTAAACTTCACGTCTCACCTCTCAAATCACAAGTCTTAAACTTCCCGTCTCACCTCTCAAATCACAAGTCTTAAACTTCCCGTCTTACCTCTCAAATCACAAGTCTTAAACTTCCCGTCTCACCTCTCAAATCACAAGTCTTAAACTTCCCGTCTCACCTCTCAAATCACAAGTCTTAAACTTCACGTCTCACCTCTCAAATCACAAGTCTTAAACTTCCCGTCTCACCTCTCTAATCACAAGTCTTAAACTTCACGTCTCACCTCTCAAATCACAAGTCTTAAACTTCCCGTCTCACCTCTCAAATCACAAGTCTTAAACTTCACGTCTCACCTCTCAAATCACAAGTTTTAAACTTCACGTCTCACCTCTCAAATCACAAGTCTTAAACTTCACGTCTCACCTCTCAAATCACAAGTCTTAAACTTCCCGTCTCACCTCTCAAATCACAAGTCTTAAACTTCCCGTCTCACCTCTCAAATCACAAGTCTTAAACTTCCCGTCTCACCTCTCAAATCACAAGTCTTAAACTTCTCAGGTCCTAAAATTCACAAGTCCTAGTCAAATGTTCATTAACTCTAAAGCTCATTACCTCACTGAGGTAGCGCTCCATGAAGTCGATCTTACTGATGCTCCTGAACTGCTGCTCAAAGATATCGATCTGAAACAGAAACAGAAACGTCTTTGTAAACATCCGGCAGCTCCTGTGAGAAAACTCAAAACATTCAAATAAACTTTATACGTACGTGTGTGTCGAAGCCGTTGTGTCGCAGCAGAGCCACGAAGTTTATGATCTCGTTCACGTGTTTATCGTTGTCCGCTTCATACGTGACGAAGACCCTCCCTGTATCAGAGAGCATGGTGTTATAATGAAAAGACCATTGTTAATATGTAAAAATAACCTGCAAATAACATGTAAATAACCTGTAATTAATGTGTAAATAATCTGTAATTAATCTGTAATGAATCTGCAAATAACAGGTAAATAAACTGTAAGTAAACTGTAATTAACATGTAATTAATAGACGTTTAATAACACATAATTCATCTGTGATTCATCTGTAAATAATCTATAAATAATCTGTAAATAATCCGTAATTAATTTGTAATTAATCTGAAAATAATCTGCAAGTAATCTGTAATGAATCTGTGAATAAACTGTAAGTAAACTGTAATTAATAGACGTTTAATAACACATAATTCATCTGTAAATAATCTATAATTAATCTGCAAATAACATGTAAATAATCAGTAAATAACATGTAAATAATCAGTAAATAACATGTAAATAATCAGTAAATAACATGTAAATAATCAGTAAATAATCTGTATTTAATTTGTAAATAATCTGTAAATCACCAGTAATGAATCAGTAATGAATCAGTAATGAATCTGTAATGAATCAGTAATGAATCTGTAATGAATCAGTAATGAATCAGTAATGAATCAGTAATGAATCAGTAATGAATCAGTAGTGAATCAGTAATGAATCAGTAGTGAATCAGTAATGAATCAGTAATGAATCTGTAGTGAATCAGTAAATAACTGTTTAATGTGATGTTGAGCACTCACTCTGCTCCAGAGACAGCGGCGTGCTGTGAGGCTGCTTCTGTTTAGCGGGGGCCATGTAGTCTCTGCAGGAAATACGTTATTTAATCATTCTAATTAAATAACTAGAAACATGCAACATGAGGGGGGGGGGGGGGGGGGCTCTGATTTATTATAGATTAAATATCATGTTTACACATCAAGACATCCAGACACAGAAGTCAAATGAGCTGAACAAAAATGTGATTATTTATTTGGCTTATTTTGTCAGGAAAATTTAAATATTAGGTCCTGTTTATTTAAAAATAAAAGTTCGTCTTAAAAGTATAAAAATAAATTGGTAAAATAAAATAAAATCCAAACAGTATAATTAAATTAGCAGCAACATCTTATAACACCAGGTTCATTCAAAACATTGAGTTGTTAACCCTGCAGAGCGCCGGGTAGCCTCCTGTGATGCAGAACTATATTAAGGATATCTTTGATGTAATAATAAAAACTCACATGTGAGAGAATCCGGCTCCAGGAGGTCTGCCGGCGTCAGGGTCTGAAGAGAAGACAGAACATCAGCACGAGAGGACTCTTTAAAGTAGAGACACTACATACTGATATACACCTGAACATCAGCAGGAGAGGACTCTTTAAAGTAGAGACACTACATACTGATATACACCTGAACATCAGCAGGAGAGGACTCTTAAAGTAGAGACACTACATACTGATATACACCTGAACATCAGCAGGAGAGGACTCTTTAAAGTAGAGACACTACATACTGATATACACCTGAACATCAGCAGGAGAGGACTCTTTAAAGTAGAGACACTACATACTGATATACACCTGAACATCAGCAGGAGAGGACTCTTTAAAGTAGAGACACTACATACTGATATACACCTGAACATCAGCAGGAGAGGACTCTTTAAAGTAGAGACACTACATACTGATATACACCTGAACATCAGCAGGAGAGAACTCTTTAAAGTAGAGACCACTACATACTGATATACACCTGAACATCAGCAGGAGGGGACTCTTTAAAGTAGAGACACTACATACTGATATACACCTGAACCTCAGCAGGAGAGGACTCTTTAAAGTAGAGACACTACATACTGATATACACCTGAACATCAGCAGGAGAGGACTCTTTAAAGTAGAGACACTACATACTGATATACACCTGAACATCAGCAGGAGAGGACTCTTTAAGTAGAGACACTACATACTGATATACACCTGAACATCAGCAGGATGAGGACTCTTTAAAGTAGAGACACTACATACTGATATACACCTGAACATCAGCAGGAGAGGACTCTTTAAAGTAGAGACACTACATACTGATATACACCTGAACATCAGCAGGAGAGAACTCTTTAAAGTAGATACACTACATACTGATATACACCTGAACATCAGCAGGAGAGGACTCTTTAAAGTAGATACACTACATACTGATATACACCTGAACATCAGCAGGAGAGGACTCTTTAAAGTAGAGACACTACATACTGATATACACCTGAACATCAGCAGGAGAGGACTCTTTAAAGTAGAGACACTACATTCTGATATACACCTGAACATCAGCAGGAGAGGACTCTTTAAAGTAGAGACACTACATTCTGATATACACCTGAACATCAGCAGGAGAGGACTCTTTAAAATAGAGACACTACATACTGATATACACCTGAACATCAGCAGGAGAGGACTCTTTAAAGTAGAGACACTACATTCTGATATACACCTGAACATCAGCAGGAGAGGACTCTTTAAAGTAGAGACACTACATACTGATATACACCTGAACATCAGCAGGAGAGGACTCTTTAAAGTAGAGACACTACATCCTGATATACACCCTGAACATCAGCAGGAGAGGACTCTTTAAAGTAGAGACACTACATACTGATATACACCTGAACATCAGCAGGAGAGGACTCTTTAAAGTAGAGACACTACATACTGATATACACCTGAACATCAGCAGGAGAGGACTCTTTAAAGTAGAGACACTACATACTGATATACAACTGAACATCAGCAGGAGAGGACTCTTTAAAGTAGAGACACTACATTCTGATATACACCTGAACATCAGCAGGAGAGGACTCTTTAAAGTAGAGACACTACATACTGATATACACCTGAACATCAGCAGGAGAGGACTCTTTTAAAGTAGAGACACTACATCCTGATATACACCTGAACATCAGCAGGAGAGGACTCTTTAAAGTAGAGACACTACATACTGATATACACCTGAACATCAGCAGGAGAGGACTCTTTAAAGTAGAGACACTACATACTGATATACACCTGAACATCAGCAGGAGAGGACTCTTTAAAGTAGAGACACTACATACTGATATACAGTAAAACCTGAAACCTTTTAGAGGCATACAGTAGAGGTTTAGGGTTAACAATCCTCCATGTCTTTTTGTTTTTACATTGAAACAAGCTACAATTACACTCTAGTTTGAATAGCAGACTCACAGTAGGGGTTATATGCAGGGTGTTGATGGGGGGGCCAGGGTTTGGGGCCCCTGAAGGGGTCGGGGGGTAACTGGGCGAAGCAGGCGGCCCCCGGTGGAGCGCAGGAGTACGGAGACAGCGTGTGGTGGAACAGGTTCCCAGAGGGGGGGTTGGAGCACAGAGACAGAGGCTGCTCCAGGCTGCTGGACACCAACTTGTACCCAGACAGGAAGCTCTCTGCTGGGGAGGAGCCGCTGCTGGGGTACCCCCCCGACCAGCTGCTGGAGAAACTGGGGTGCAGCCAGGCGTCGGCGGGGGGCGTCTGGCTGGGGAAGGGCGTGGGCTGGCTGGAAGATAAGATAAGATAAGAATCAGAATCCATTGTACCAACTATGTGCAATATATATATATATATGCTGTTAATAACTGTGCAATACCTGGCTGCTAAATCCTCAGAACGGTTACAGGATGTGTATTTTGTAAATTGTGTAACTTTGGTAACACTTTATATGAAGGTACACAAATTAACCATCAACTAGTTATTAAGTCTTACATATTAAGACCCAAACTCATGTACAACAACTTCCTTACTTGCAATAAATCAGCACTAATTAGAGGGTTATTGAGGAAAAACTCTCAACTAATGGCTTATTACTTGTAGAATATGGTCATGTAGAATAAGGCATTAATAAGTGTTTTATAATGACTAATAAAGAGCCAATATGCTGCTAATATGCATGTTAATGAACAACTAGTTGATGGTTAATTTGTGTACCTTAATATAAAGTGTTACCGTAACTTTTTTTATTATCATTTTTGTATCTTTAATACTTTTTTATGCATGCTTTAGGTATATAACGGTATGGTGGCCCTGAAGTGCAAGTCAAAACAACATTTCACAAAACACTACAGCACGTTCTCCCTAAAGGAATACCCTTCCCGTAATCTTTCAAATGTCGTTGTGTTTTCTGAAATGTTGTTTTGACTTGCACTTCAGACCCACCGTATGAAAGACATGAACAAGTGCATTTAGCATGATAGGAGACCTTTAAAAGAGGGGACTGACCTGAGGCTGTATCCGGGGGGCTGGTAGCAGCAGAAACCAGCAGGGGGGAGGCTGTGTTTCAGGTCCTGCCTCTGGGTGCTGGAGAGGGAGGAACCGGGGGAGACAGGGTGAGGGTCCCGATGGGGGCAGACAGGGTGAGGGTTTGGGTCCCGATGGGGGGAGACAGGGTGAGGGTTTGGGTCCCGATGGGGGTGAGGGTTTGGGTCCCGATGGGAGGACACAGGGTGAGGGTTTGGGTCCCGATGGGGGGAGACAAGGTGAGGGTTATGGTCCCGATGGAAGGAGACAGGGTGAGGGTCATGGTCCCGATGGGGGTGAGGGTTTGGGTCCCGATGGGAGGAGACAGGGTGAGGGGTATGGTCCCGATGGGAGGAGACAGGGTGAAGGTCATGGTCCCGATGGGGGTGAGGGTTTGGGTCCCGATGGGAGGAGACAGGGTGAAGGTTTGGGTCCTCGGAGCTCATGGTCTCATCGTCCTCCTCAGGAGTGTTCAGGTGAAATCTGCTCAGCTGCCTCACGTGACTGACAGGAAACAGAAATAACACCTAAATAACTACAGGTGCACAGTGAAAGTCCTGCATTCAAAATGTTCCTAAAGTATAAAAGTATTCTCATCAAAATATAGTTAAAGTAGCGACAGTAAAAGTAGTCATTGTGCAGATTGGTCCATTTCAGAATAATATATATGATATGTTTTATAATGATTGATCATGAAAGTGTTCTCAAGCTGGTAAAGGTGCAGCTAGTTTGAATGACTTTGTATACTGCAGGGTAGCTTGTGGATTTACTCCAGGTGGAACTAAAGTCTGATTTAAGACTTGATTATATTTCACATCCTTCATCCACATCTGTGAAGTAACTAAAGGTATTAAATACATGTAGTGGAGGAAAAGTACACCATGTACCTCTGAACTGTAGTGGAGTAGAAGTACAAAGGAGTAAAACATGGACATATTCAAGTAAAGTACCCAAACATTGAACTTACTTCCCACCTCTGATTATTTCTCATTGTAAAGAACGTTGTGCTGTATTTCTCGGTTCTACACAAACATCTGTTCCCTTTAGTCTTTACTCCCTCCTCAATTCACTCAGTTTGTATCTCATGTATCTTGTAATCTGTAATCTGTAATCTGTAATCTGTCACCTGTGTGTTGCTGGTTGTGTGGCAGCGGGCAGCATCATTGATCCTCCTCCTCACATCCATCAGCTTCCTGTTTACGCTGCATCTGAACTCTGTATAGAGGACATTTCATTAAAGGTCACCTATCGTGCAAAATCCTCTTCTTCATGTCTCTTCTACATCAACATGTGTCCCCTCTTCTTCATGTCTCTTCTACATCAACATGTGTCCCCTCTTCTTCATGTCTCTTCTACATCAACATGTGTCCCCTCTTCCTCATGTCTCTTCTACATCAACATGTGTCCCCTCTTCCTCATGTCTCTTCTACATCAACATGTGTCCCCTCTTCCTCATGTCTCTTCTACATCAACATGTGTCCCTCTTCTCATGTCTCTTCTTCATCAACATGTGTCCCTTTCCTCATCAAATGTGTCCCCTCTCTCATGTCTCTTCTACATCAACATGTGTCCCCTCTTCTTCATGTCTCTTCTACATCAACATGTGTCCCCTCTTCTCCATGTCTCTTCTTCATCAACATGTGTCCCCTCTTCCTCATGTCTCTTCTACATCAACATGTGTCCCCTCTTCCTCATGTCTCTTCTACATCAACATGTGTCCCCTCTTCCTCATGTCTCTTCTACATCAACATGTGTCCCCCCCCCCCCCCCCCCCCACCTTATCACCTGAATCTCCTCCTAGAGCACCATTGAGTTCTTTGTAACCAAATCTCTCTGAGGTGCTTGCCCCACGGGAACGCATACGGCAAAACGCATAGGATTAACGCAATCGCCAAAAAGCTTCCGTCCACACGCAATAGACACCGGATAGTGTCTGCCCACACGAGACAGCTCCATTTAGATCCAACCGCTGGAAAAAGCTTCAGTACTTAAGCCGAGCCTGTACGTGGCGCTGTAACTTCCTCCACCAAAGCAGCGAAGAAGAATGGTTGTCATGGTTGCCCTTCTGTTTATTCTCCGCGGTGGGGGCCGAGGGAACCGGGCAGAGTTTTTCGCCGGTCAACGTGTGTTAAAGTTTAAATCTTCCGGACAAAATGATAAAAGTGCCGGTCAAAGGTCTTCTTTGTTATTTATTGAGCTTTAAAACAAATGAATAACGACTCTATATAATGATATATAATAATAAAATACACGGAGCCTCTCTTTTTCCTCTCTTCTGACAGCTCAGTGTCTGTCTCATGCAGCAGCTGATCCTGTAATGAGTGACCCGACAGTAAAAATAAACATTTATAACTAGTTTAGGTAGTTTGAGAGGTAATTAAAATAGCTAAGGGTGATGATCTGACTTGAAGTGTGTGTTTTGCTCCTAGGAGCTGCGTGTCTCCGTCCTGTCAGATTAGACTTCACTCGCGTTTATGTCCATATCGAGATAAATAATCTGAATTCAGTGTGCAGTTTACTTTGACGCGGGGGTGAGCAGCAGAGGTGGGGGGAGGCAGGGCTATTGCATCATCATTATCACAAAATGATCGTATAGGTCCTACACACGGAGCCGTTGGACCCCCCAGAGCGTTGCGTATGCCGTTCTATCCACCTTGGGACCCGTTATCGTTACCGCAGTTGTTTACTGCCATATTCGGTCGTCCTAGTGTGGCAGAACGGTCTGTATGACACTAAACAGTTACGCAAACGGCCGTATGCGTTCCCGTGGGGCAAGCACCTCAGAGGGGCATGGGGGGGGGGGGCTCCTTATTTTCATCTAAAGTAACAGACAGAGAATCAGCACTTTGGAAACAGGACTGAAACAGAGGGGATTATGGGTAATGCTGCAATGATCTGTTTGGTGTTTCAGCCAATCAGAGACAGGCTCTGCATATATCTGAGACCTGGGATATATTGATGAAGAAACAGTATAACAGGGGACCTTTAATACCCAATTAAAACTGACTTTGCAAACAATATCTCAAAGAGCAGCACTTTTTATTTCCTAACTGAGCGTTGTGACGTCAGCCCACGCGCTGCTGCTGATCAAAGGCCCTCCACTCACTCGGGGATTTCTCGGGGTGTTTGGTGGTTAAAGCTCAGATGATGATATGTGGAAATACAGAACTGATGCAGACACAAGATGGAAAATCAAACCACAAAACTTCCAGAAGTATAGAATATGTCTCAACACGTCACGTTTAAAAAGAGATGATTCACAGCTTTATTATCATTTATAATTGGAGACATGAAAACTCCAGAACTACGGAAGCCCTTAAGAGACATTTTATGGGCGTTTGTGGGCTTTTGTCCCTCCCCCAAATGATACTCCCGCACAACGGGGTCTAATCGGCAAACACCATTACATTCATCTGTGTATTCTTGTCAATAAATATATATCGTTACATCAAAACAAGTCTCTCCTGATTGGACAAGAGTTATTAGGAATAGCTCCTGCGATTTCAGGGTCATTTATTCAAGATACTACATCTCTCTTCAGATAATGACATGAATCAAGAATGATAAATTAAATGTTTTTTTAGATTATACACAAATAAAATGTATTATGTTTTTGTTTTTCACGTTTTTGTTGTGTCATTATCTCAAGATGATGGAATAAAGACATACAACACACACCTACTGAACACTAATGTAGGTCTAACAAAAGTACAAAAATCAGTTGAGGAGTGTGTACCGGTGTTATGCCGTAGATTGAAGCCCTGTTCGCGGGGACGAGCAAAGTGACGTCATCGCCTGTATTGAGCGTTCGCCTAGTTTTCTAAGCGGAACAACGAAAGATACTATTTACTTTCTCTCTTTTGAATGATATATTTCCCATCAGATTAAACAGCAAACGGCTGAATAAATAATGTGCATACAAATTGCGTGGAGGCTCGTTTTAAGGACACTTTTCAGATCTGTCACGATCTTCGTATTGGAACAAACTTCAGTTTTTGAGTCCACTCTGTTCTGTTCCTCCTTCCTACAGAACAGACAGGATAATATGTCATTTGTCAGTCTAGTCCTATTTTTTAAAACCTTCTCTGTTGTTTAAGTGTCTGATAACCACGAATAGTAAGCAATGATATAACAGTAATTATATAACATATGTCAGACACTGTGTTATTTTCAATCAAGCCTAAAAGATTATAATGTGTTCAAACTGGCTTCACTCGCTTTAATTGCTCCTTTGAATGTAATGTTCCTCTGTGGTTTCCTACTCAACACATGTTTGTATTGTAATGCCACTCATATTTTATTTTTTATTGTATTTTAAGGTGACATTGAATGCTTTGAAAGGTGCCCTAAAATAAAGTGTATTATTGATCTTATATCTGTGCCTATATCACACGATTAATGTTCCTTATTTTAGACTAGGTTAATCCTGGTGTCAATAGGGAAGATCTGCACTGTTCTCTAACATGTTCAGCAGAGCAGGTATTTCTCCTGCCAGATTTGGAACCCCCCCTATCATTTTGTCCAGGATGGTCATAGACTCACCAAAATCACACTGGTGTTTGCTGTTCCCCTCTAGTGTGTGCTCGCAAAAGCATTTTACTCTGGGCCCAGCAGGTGAAAAACTAAAGAGGGGCTTCCATATCCGGCAGACCAGGTGTTGTAGCTGCCGGATTTGGAAGCCCCCCTATATCTTTGTCCAGGATAGTCACAATTTCACCAAAATCACACTGGTGTTGCCTGTTCCCCTCTAGTTTATGCTCACCAAAGCATTTTACTCTGGGCCCAGCAGGTACAAAACTAAAGAGGGGCTTCCATATCCGGCAGAGAAGGTGTTGTGGCTGGCTGCCGGATATGGAAGCCCCCCTATAATTTTTCACCTGCTGGTCTCAGAGTAACATGCTTTTGTGAGCACAAAGTAGAGGGAAACAGCAAACACCAGTGTGATTTTGGTGAGTCTATGACTATCCTGGACAAAGGTATAGGGGGGCTTCCAAATCCGGCAGCTACAACACCTGGTCTGCCGGATATGGAAGCCCCTCTTTAGTTTTGTACCTGCTGGGCCCAGAGTAACATGCTTTGGTGAGCACAAACTAGAGGGGAACAGGCAACACCAGTATGATTTTGGTGAAGTTGTGACTGTCCTGGACAAAGTTGTAGGGGGGGTGCCATATCTGGCAGCACCTTCTCTGCCGGATTTGGAAGCCCCTCTTTAGTTTTGTACCTGCTGGGCCCAGAGTAAAATGCTTTGTATTGTAATGCCACTCACTTTGTTCCAATACGAAGATTGTGACAGATCTGAAAAGTGTCCTTAAAACGAGCCTCCACGCAATTGTATGCACATTATTTATTCAGCCGTTTGCTGTTTAATCTGATGGGAAATATATCATTCAAAAGAGAGAAAGTAAATAGTATCTTTCGTTTTTCCGCTTAGAAAACTAGGCGAACGCTCAATACAGGCGATGACGTCACTTTGCTCGTCCCCGCGAACAGGGCTTCAATCTACGGCATAACACCGGCCTACACACACACACCTGACAGTTCCTGTAAACACACACACACCACCCACACACCCACACACACACACACACACACACACACACACACCACACACACACACACACACCACACACACACACACACACAGCACTTTCCACTGAAGCTGACCCAGTTATATATCCGTTTAACTTTTGTGCTGACTTCATGCACTTTATAATATAAAATACACCTCTGATTATTATCTATATACACACACACACACACACACACACACACACACACACACACACACACACACACACACACACACAGAGAGAGACACACGCACACACACAGAGACACAGAGAGAGAGAGACATACGCACACAGAGACACACAGAGAGAGAGAGAGAGACACGCACACAGAGACACACAGAGAGAGAGAGACACGCACACAGAGACACACAGAGAGAGAGAGACACGCACACAGAGACACACAGAGAGAGACACGCGCACACAGAGACACAGAGAGAGAGAGACACACGCACACAGAGAAACACAGAGAGAGAGAGAGACACACGCACACAGAGACACAGAGAGAGAGAGAGAGAGACACACGCACACAGAGACACAGAGAGAGAGAGAGAGACACACGCACACAGAGAAACACAGAGAGAGAGAGAGACACACGCACACAGAGACACACAGAGAGAGAGAGACACACACGCACGCACACACCGCTTAAATCCGCCTGTGTTTTCTTGCAGGTGTTACACAAACACAAATAAGCTTTTAAACACATGAGAAATGTGTCGAAGTTAAAGAATCTATTGTGTAACTTTAAGAGACCCTGACTCACCTCTGCAGGTAAACTCCTCCTGAAGCGCGCGACCCCCGTCAGGAAAACACCTGAACACCAGAAGAGCTCACATAAACAAACCCTGAGTTTATATTAAAGTATAAAGATGTGTTTAAAGTCCTCTCCGTGAGACAGAGGGCGGATTTTGACGGAGGGAGCGCTCGGTTCTTCGATTTGAGGCTGAAGCCCCGCCCCCCTGCTGAGAGGCTCCACCTGCGGGGGATGTTTTTACATTTTTAGGAGCAGACTGAATGGTAACAAATGTTTATTCTCAAGTGAGGGAACTATCGTTTTATACCGAGAGTGCAGTTCCTTTAATTTTCAAAATAAAGTTTAAATCTCTTGCACTAATGTAGACATTTTTGTGCTTTATTTGCCATATTACTGTATGTTTTGCACTGTATTTCATGTATGTATTATTATTATCATTAACTATGTTTTCCCATGTGTTGTGCATTGCATCTCACCTTAAATATAGCAGTGTTTTATTTACCATTTTAACCCTTTTATATATTCATTTAATTGCTATTTCACCTTCTTGTAAAGCACGTGTTGCTGCATTTCTTGTGGAACAGGTATTTTAACGTTATTGGTTTCATAACAGGATGACATAACTTGTCTGTCTGTCTGTCTGCGTGTGTGTGTGTGTGTGTGTGTCACTCTGGTTATTTAGGGTTCATTTCTTGTGGAACAGGTATTTTAAAAACGTTATTGTTATTGGTTGCATAACAGTACATAACTTGGGGTTATACTCTCTCTGTGTGTGTGTGTGCGTGTGCTTGTGAGTGTGTGTATGTGTGCTTGTGTGTGTGTGTGTGTGTGTGTGCGTGTGCTTGTGAGTGTGTGTATGTGTGCTTGTGTGTGTGTGTGTGTGTGTGTGTGTGTGTGAGTGCGTGTGTGTGTGTATGTGTGTGCATGTGTGTGTGAGTGTGTGTGTGTGTCTCTGGTTAATTAGTGTTCCAACAGAGTCAACAGTAACCGAGTCAACACCACAGAATAAAGGAGTGTTTGTTTTATTTCGTCCTCATTTCACTTTCCGATGAATGATTACAACATGATTTCCTGATTTGAGCTGCGATGTTTTTCCTGAAGCAGCCGGCAGACTTTATTAAAGCCGAGTTACTAAAGATTAGAGAGGATGTGTGAACATGGCCGTGTTGACTCTGCTCTGTTTGCAGAAGCACGACTCCATCCAGAGCTTCTGCACCACGACGGCCTGAGGGTAGCGGCTCTGCAGCGCCTGCAGCTCCTGCTCAAAAGACAACAACATCAACAACAACAACAACAACAAACACTTGTTATTGTGCTTTTACGGCATGCTCTTTCATTATCCTCTGATTTAGCATGAAGGTATTTGAAGTCCTAACTGTGTGAGAAAGCTTCACCTCAGCGTTCTGGTTCACTAGAGCGAGATAAAGAAAACACTTCCTGTGATTTAATCTCAATACAGCGATCTGAATGAAGCTGAATAAACTCCATCCTCTTGATGAACAGTGGAGAGTCTGAATTAGAGCTTAGTCAGGTCTTTCTGAAGACAACAAGCACAGAACTTTTTTAATGTCTCTTTGCTGAATGGAGTTTCTGTTTACAAGAAGATTTCTATATATTCTGCAACTTCAAAATGATATTAATTGCATGAACATGTTCATTATGCACCCACTGCCGGAGACCCTAACCCCTGACTCTGCATGTACTCACACAGTCATTCACTTCCTGTGTTGTGTGTGAACAGTCAGAGAAGTTGAAATGATTAATCCTCAGATACTGACCTGTGATTGGACGCTGCTCTCCACCTCGGCCACGATGTGCGTGACCTCCGGACTCATGACCTCCTCCTCGTCTCCGTCATACGTGATCTTAGCTAAGGAGCGCTGACACTTCACAACACAACACTCTGTTAGCATACATCCGGTCTGTGAGTTAAAAATGCCACAAAATGACCTTAAAACTAGACTTTTTGCTGGATCTCACCGACTCTAGTACCTCATAAAGAATGTCATAAGAAATGTATAAAATGTCTCCTTTTATTTAAAATATAATCAAAGAATTTTGTAGGAAAAAAACCATGGGTGTTTCTCAATGTCTGCTCCAGAGCCACTATTTCAAGGATGCTAGTGTACGTCATCGAGTCCCGCCGAAGGACTGTGGGTGTTTCTCAATGTCGAGTACGCTTGCTTGGTAGCACATGTCTTCCGAGTCACTTGCTTCAGAAGCGAGGCAAGAATCCTTCCTGGCATTCGGAAAACGAAGAGTGGAACAGGCTAGCAAGTGTGCAGGTGTGCGTCATATGAGAGGCCCCGCCTCCTACATCTTCCGCCACAGATTTGGGGAAATTGGTCCGTGCGCAAAGCATTGTGGGGATTTTAAGACCCCACAATGCTTTGCGCACGGACCAATTTTCAAAACCTGTGGCGGAAGATGTAAGAGGCGGGGCCTCTCATATGACGCACATATCTAGGGCTAGGAAGGATTCTTGCCTCGCTTGTGAAGGACCTGACTCGGAGGTACATGTCCTACCAAGGAAGCTTCCTCGACATTGAGAAACACCCCGTGAAATTAAAGCAAAATCAAAAAGTTGTAGAGGGTAACAAATCTGTAAAATCCCTCATAAATATCCTACGTTTATAAAAAATATATTGCTAAAAACTCGTAGGATAAAACAAATCTTGTTGTTACAGTCACAGCCCTGTCACAGAAACGTACAAAAAAAATGCTTAAGAAATCCTAAAAATATCAAACTCACATTTAAAACATCAGTACTATATTTTGTATATTTATATTTAATGTGGCTCTGCGATGAAGGATATGTGACGAGGTAGCGGGCGAGCATCTTCCTCTCTGACGCCGGCAGGTTGTAGAAAAACACCCGGACGCCCTTCATGAAGTCTGGCAGCGCCGCGGGGCCGCTTGATTCTGTGTCCTCTGTCACCCGGGTGGAGTCAGGCTGCTGTGGATCAGAGGAGGATGTTGAGGGTGTTGAGGGTGTTGAGGATGTTGAGGGAGCGCTTGTTTCTGCGTCATCAGTGACCCGGGCGGAGTCGGGGGAGGATGAAGAGGGGGCGGAGCTCTTGGCTCTGCTGTGATAGTATCTGCAGGTGGAGTTAAGGAGGAGACGTGATGAATGATCTCCTGTGAGAGAGTTCAGAGGTGTTGAGAGGAGAGATGGGAAGAGTACACACATCCTTTACTCAAGTAGAAGTACACACATCCTTTCCTCAAGTAGAAGTACACACATCCTTTCCTCAAGTAGAAGTACACACATCCTTTACTCGAGTAGAAGTACACACATCCTTTACTCGAGTAGAAGTACAGATACTCGTGTTTAAAAATACTCTGGTGAAAGTAGAAGTACTGACTAAACTTCTTTACTCAAGTAGAAGTACAGATACTCGTGTTTAAAAATACTCTGGTGAAAGTAGAAGTACTGACTAAACTTCTTTACTCAAGTAGAAGTACAGATACTCGTGTTTAAAAATACTCTGGTGAAAGTAGAAGTACTGACTAAACTTCTTTACTCAAGTCAAAGTAAAGAGGCTTTGAAATGTACTTCAGTAAAAAGTACCCATAACTAGCAGCTGTTTTAAAGAGTACCTGACCTCCCTTTATATTAATAGAACAATAATGTCATTGTTAGCTAATGAATGTTTCCATGCTGAACAACGGCAACATGACAACGTTTTCATTGGTCCCTCTTCTTTAGAGAAGACCAGGAAATGATGGATACACGGATCGTGTTCAAATCAATAGGCACGCAATGACTCTAAATAATAATGATCACGCCACCAAACACACATTCAAACTAAAGGAACCAGCCTGTTTGGGAAATGTGAGAAGTAGAAAGTACAGGTATTTGAGTTCAACATGTAAGAAGTAGAAAGTACAGGTATTTGTGTTCAACATGTAAGAAGTAGAAAGTACAGGTATTTGAGTTCAACATGTAAGAAGTAGAAAGTACAGGTATTTGTGTTCAACATGTGAGAAGTAGAAAGTACAGGTATTTGTGTTCAACATGTAAGAAGTAGAAAGTACAGGTATTTGTGTTCAACATGTGAGAAGTAGAAAGTACAGGTATTTGTGTTCAACATGTAAGAAGTAGAAAGTACAGGTATTTGTGTTCAACATGTGAGAAGTAGAGAAAGTACAGGTATTTGTGTTCAACCATGTAAGAAGTAGAAAGTACAGGTATTGTGTTCAACATGTGAGAAGTAGAAAGTACAGGTATTTGTGTTTCAACATGTACGAAGTAGAAAGTACACGGTATTTGTGTTCAACATGTAAGAAGTAGAAAGTACAGGTATTTGGGTTCAACATGTAAGAAGTAGAAAGTACAGGTATTTGTGTTCAACATGTAAGAAGTAGAAAGTACAGGTATTTGTGTTCAACATGTAAGAAGTAGAAAAGTACAGGTATTTGGGTTCACATGTAAGAAGTAGAAAGTACAGGATATTTGTGTTCAACATGTAAGAAGTAGAAAGTACAGGTATTTGTGTTCAACATGTGAGAAGTAGAAAGTAACAGGTATTTGGGTTCAACATGTAAGAAGTAGAAAGTACAGGTATTTGGGTTCAACATGTAAGAAGTAGAAAGTACAGGTATTTGGGTTCAACATGTAAGAAGTAGAAAGTACAGGTATTTGGGTTCAACATGTAAGAAGTAGAAAGTACAGGTATTTGAGTTCAACATGTAAGAAGTCAAAGTAAAAAGTCGACAGAGAAATAAGTAGTGGAGTAAAGTACTGATACCAGAAACATGTACTGAAGTACAGTAAGGAAGTATTTGTTCTCCACTTCTTCCCTCCTCTGATGAAAGGATACATGAAGGTGTGGATGCCGCGAGAGGACAGATGTTTCCGGATCAGACGCTCCGTGCCGTACCAGTTGAAGCCTCTGGTGGCGTGACCGATGCGAGGAAGATGCACGCTCGCTGTGGGAAACACAAAATATAATAAAGTCAGAGTTAGAAAGACGCCGGCTGCCTCTGGATTCTGTCGGTCGGTTCATATGATATAAAAGAGAGGAAAGCGGCAGATCTGGAGATTTAAAGACTTTTCTGCAAGAGAAATTACTGCTGAATTCAATTGGTGTCAGGGAATAATTCTGTATACATGTTGACCTTTCGCCCTCTGACGCAGATGCTCCACCTTGATCAGCTGTTATCTCCGTTAAGGAGGGGCTGCCCTAGCAAGTTGTTGTTGTTACCAGTTTGTGACCGGGCAGCTCTCGGTCAGAGATAGTTATTGTTGTGGGACACCTGGAACACATCCTTCTCGGGGTGTAGATGACCCCGAGCCATAAGCGACAACAACTGTGATTCAGTGTCCCTCAGCTGTTTAGTCTATCTAGTGAAGAATGTTGATTATTACACTCTCTAGCTAAATACACGGGTCTGGGGTAGAGCTCTTCAGAATTGATTGTGGCATCTCTACCGTGTGGTCAGACCCCGTGACATGTTTTGTGAATTCTCCGGCCGAAGCTCCAAATAAACCGTCAGTGTTTGCCATCAAAGCTCCAGCTCTCCTCGTGTCTCTCTCTGAGTCCTGACTCCATCAAAGCTCCAGCTCTCCATCGTGTCTCTCTCTGAGTCCTGACTCCAATTGCTTCAGAAGTTTCCCCCCACACTTGGAGATTCATTAATTGATAAGTCATGTTATTACAGCAAACATGTACAGAACATTTGCCCCAAAACTGTCATAAAAACATGCATAAAATGTCTGAAAATCTGTAAGAAATGTCCGAAACCAGTGTCTCAGAGTCAAGGTGATGAGTTTTTAAATGTCCAAAGATATTCACTTTGATATAAAGCAGAGAAGCTCATCTCCAGATTAGAGAGTGTTACGCGCCGTGTTGTGAGAAACAGACTTTAGAGACTTTTCTGCAGGAGAAATGAAAGATGAATCCACTATCAAGTCACTATCGATTAGCCGACAATGATTGCAGAGAAAGGGACAGACCCTAACCTTTTAGTTTTCCAACCATTCAATCCTGAAAATTACCAAATGTTCTGTACAACAAAAATGCATGGTCTCAAAAAGTGGAAAACTGAATGTCCCCCTCAATAAAGGTCCATCTTTCTTTATAGTTAGTACTTGAACTGCAGTAACTGATGTGTTTACGCTCCACTTGTCACTGCACTTCAGAAACATTTGCATCACCAACAGGAAACGGTGTGAACAGACTCAGGTCGAACAACCCGAGGAACATCTGACTCACATTTTAAATAATTGTTTGTGTGAGAATCCTCCGTGCGCGCAGAGTGACGACAGATCTGGTCAGGCGAGTCTAAAATAAGACGCTGCCTTCATCACGCTCCTGAACATGTTGTAATACTTTCTGACTTTTTATACACCTGTTATTAATCTGAGGATTTTTTAACAATACCATTTATTTCTAAACATTTTAATCTTTTTTTTTTAATATTTAAAAATATTGCTTAATTTGTTTTTTCTTTCAAAATGAATTGAATAATTATTTTATTTTATTTATTTATTTTCTAAAATCCCTGAAAAATAATAAATCAATATTGTTGTTTTTAATATATTTTTTTTTAAATGCTGTTTATGTTGAAAATTACCCCAAAAAAGTGTATAAAAAATACACAAAAAAATAACTGAAGTATTGAGTGCTTGTTGGTACCCTTGAGTCTTTTTGCCGCAGCGTAGATCTTCTTCAGTCCTTCGTCCAGAGCGGAGAGGAAGATGGCCGACAGTTTGTTGCTTCCGTCTCTCTGCTGCGCCACGATCAGAGCCAGCTGACAAACAGGAAGTAGAACAAACTCAGTTTATCTGACGACTCATCAGAAATAAAACCACAGAGCGCCCAAAACAACTGAGAGAGGAAGAACAGCTGATCTCAGAACCAGCATCCACTCCAGGCAGCGCTGAGTTTCATTTTTAAGGAAGGACATTTTCGAGCAAAATTCTGACTTTTTTTTTTCAAAATCAAAAAATTCGTACTTTTTCAAAAATACTCAATTATTATTATTATTATTTCAGAAAATGTTGACTTTTGTCAGAAAATCTCAAAACTTTGATTTTTTTTCTTAAATTCTGATTTTTTCCCCCTGAAAAACAAGAAAAATCGGACTTTTTCCCGAAAATCTCCATTATGTTAGCCTTTGCAGACCATTAACATGCACAATCACCTATTGAACACCACAAAGAGAACAACAGGGACTTTTTAAGTACCTGATCCTGGCCGTCTAGTCTGGACTGTTTGTCGTCGACGGGGAAGAGCAGCACATTCCCCAGGTCCAAATCTGAAATAAACCATATTTTAAATTCATTTTCACTCAAATACTGCACTGTTTGAAATGTACTTGAGGATATTTCCATGTTCTGCTACTTCCACTTCAACACATCTCAGAGGGAAATATTTCACATTTTACTGAACTACAATAGGCGCTTTCACACCGGAGTACTTTTCCCAGGAATAGTTCCGATAGTTCTTGGGATTTTGAGTTCACACCAAAAAGATCTGGAACTAGAACTTAGTTCATGAGAACCTTTTCACCCCCAGATAGTCCCTGCTAGAGAGCAGGTACTTTCGTGGGAGGAAAAGGTTCCAATTTCTGATTGGCTGGGCGGATTGCAAACCACGCCCCTTAAACTCCCAAAAAGTTTTGTGAAGCCGCCATTTTATTTGCTCGCATTAGCATTATTAGCATTAGCATTAGCCCAGCCCAGAAACGGAAAGAGGCTAACTTATGGCAACACAAAAGAAAACATGGGAGCGGTGGAGATGAGGAGGTGTCGGCGTTCTGGCGATTTACTCGGAAGGCTTCAGTAGAAGCTGCTGGGAGTCCCAGCAGCTTCTACTGAAGCCTTCCCCAACTCCGGGGACTTCGGGTGGCAGTATACGCCGTGAAGTTGTTTGCGGCCTGCCAGTAAACCCAAAGCAGAAGAAGAAGAAGTGACGTCAGCGGCTTCATTTGCCTAATCCTCCCTCAGGGACTTATTCCGGTGTGAACGCGATCTGCTAGATAGTTCCGGGACTAAAGAGTTCGGCGGGACTAAGTACTGGGAACTAAGTACGGCAAAGTACTTGGAGTGAAAGCGGCTATTTAGTTTTAGTTAAATTCAGACATTTTAAAATCAGCTAATAAATAATGATCTATTTTTACAAGTTAAAGTGGACCTATCATGCTATATTATAATAATATAGTGTAGGACCATACCTATATAAGGCATATTTATACTTTTTTTTTTTTAAATACCAAACAGATCATGCATTTTAGCCATGCCTTATTTTGCTCAATTTGTACTTTTGTACCCCTGTTTTTGCAAGGGCTGATTCTGTGAGAACAGCGCCACCTACAGGCCTGGCATATGTACTACATCGTCTCCAGCGCTTTGGAACGGCAATGGCCGTGGTTGTCTCCTCCTGATTGGTGGAGTTGGCCCAATAGCCGTAGCGCCACCGTCCTGACGTCAGGACAGTGTTCAAATCTGGATCAGTTTTTATCAGATCCGTTGCAGCCCCTTTTTTAGAGATTTGGGTATGGAGGAAAATAGAGAGGGTTGTGTTTTCTGACACTTGGTGAGTTCCCTGGAACACCGGGGACACATATTCATGTATAAAAGACGTACAACAGTGCATTTTGCATGATAGGTCCCCTTTAAGCTCTTATATATACAGTCTATGGTTAAGCTACACTGCCGTAGTCAACTCCATCTTAACTAGCTGCTTTACTAAGTGATAAACATCAAAATACAAATACTTAAAAGTGGAAAAGAGTTAACAATTAAAAATGAAATGAGAAATGGTATAAACAAATATAAACAATATAGAAAATTCTGGATAATTAAAATGATCTCAGTTTCTCCATTGCATAAATATCATGAATAACATCAACAGTCCTCATCCTAAGGTGCATCTGTTGTCAACCCTTTCCTACTCAGGGCTTTTTGACTTGCTATTATCATGATGTATTTAGATTTTCTAATAATAAGTAATGTTACCTTTCATCTTGCCGGCCAGCTCGTAGTGCTTCCTGGGTTCATCTGATCTCACCTCCAGAGCCGTGAACAAGCCGCCTCGACCCCATCGCCCCGAGTCATCTGAAACACAACACTGATGAAGACCTGCTGCTGCTACCTTCATCTTATCATCATTATTATTATGTACTTTATTGATCCCAATTTGGGACAATAGCATAAAAAGACAAGGCATTGAAGACTAGAAATAAACAATGCAAAATGTAAACGTCTCAAATAGCATTACAAAAGTAAAGAATATTTGTTTGTTTTGAATAAATGAGTGGGGATGAAGTATTAATTGCTACTATCTCATTTAAGTCAAATGTTGTTGCCAATTCATTTCTTGGTGTCATGACATCTTGAATGTAATGTTACCCTCACTCATCCTATTAAAAAAATACAATTATACAAAAATAAATAAATAAAAGGCCACGACGACAAGGGACAGCTTTCCTACCGACACAGTGCACGATGATGGCGTCTCCCTGAGCGGCTTGAGGATGGGTGACGTCTCCGAGGACGTAACGGATGGCCGAGCTGTCAGAGTCTGTGGAGGAAACGCTGCCGTCATCTTCCTCTTCCTCCTCCTCCTCCTCTTCCTCT